ATGAACGTCGCCGTCTACAAGGTGATCCTGGTGCTGGTGGGGGCGCCCTGCCCACGCCGGCGCCGCTTGCCAGGTGAAGATGAACGTCGCCGTCTGCAATTTGGTCCTGGATCTGGCGGGGAAGCAGATCATTTCACTGGCTGACCTCCATTCCAATCTTTGCCTGGCGACACATTAGGCTAGTAAGCTAGAACCATGTCATGTCAGCTGTGTATAGCCGGCAGTCAGGTTTCTCCTTATTGTGATTTGTACCATAGCGAGCAGAAACTGCAGCACCCTGCACTAGGTCTCAAGCGCCTTCTCCCCCAACATTTAGCAATGATAAATGTAAATGTGAGACTATGCTCCTATTTAGTTGGCAAGATTCTGAAGTTTTTGAAATGTCCTACCATATAAGTGTAGTTGTTGTATGTTAATTCTTGATCAGGTAACATTACTAAAACATTGGTGAATTAATGAAAAAGATTTATTGCCAAAATAAAACCGTGCCAAACATAAGCCGTGTTTATTTTACTTAAAAATCACACTAGCCCAAACTAATGGTTGGAAATTACTTGAAAAGTACTGGAGGTAATATCTAGATGAACTAAATGAGATGTAACCACTAACTTTGTCTTTACTCCGATAGCTTCAAAAACATCAAACTTTGCAGCATATAAAGGGGACATTGATATGAAATTTATTCACACATTGGAATTATGGAGCAAATGTCCACGTTTTGAAGAGCAATAGATAACTTTGTAATTTGGGACCATGACACATTAGGTCTAGATTTAGACACCTTAATAGCACACCAATTTAGAAACAAGGAAAAGTAAAAATTTAGGTAACTTAAATACATGGGAATTTGAAAAAGCTAATAAATATAATTTTTGGGGCAAACAATCTCATGAGGAGGCTGTACTCTTTCAAAGTACCCTCCATTCGTTTCATTTCAATACTTTAAGGTAGGTCATTATAAACAATCTATAATTTACATTCCAGGTGGTTCTTTTACCCTAAATGTTTAACACTTCATTACATATTCATGTTATTGTAGAGCCCCATCACCCGGGTTGAAGTCATTCGAAGGAATCTCCGAACAGAAATTTGATGATTGAGAAGGTCAGCTGTGTAGTTCTTGATGTAGGCGTCATTTCTTAAAGTTACTGTAGTACGAGGCCTTCCGAAACGTTGCCCAGCTCGCCAAGCCGTATAGTCAGCATATGCATTCCGTTCGTACCTCTTCAAAGAATCTGGAATGAATTTCAGTTTAAGAAGGTTAATTTTCTGGGGAAACAAGTAACATTTTAGATGAAAAGTTTTGTTCAGGCTCTCTTTAAAGGCTCTGGCAAGCTCTAGCTGTTAAGTCTTATGGAAATCAACAGAATCAAAATTCACAAACAAAAAAGCTCATAAAAGTAATAGCTAAATCTAAATTCTAGATACAAGTTTTAAAATCTTCAAGAACTTACGGATAAAGTGCCAAATATTTGGGTGATGGGGTCCAGTTTCCATCCCTAGGACCCTATTGGCTGCCTCACAGGCGTTGTTGGTCCTGTCCGGCTGATTGTAGACAGATAGGATTTCATAGTTTGGACCTTGCATCCATGTTCTGATGTAGTATGCTAAAAATCTGATCATGTGTTGAATGACATTTTCTCTCATTGCACTCCGCACCAGCACCAAGAAACCATGACGCATTTCTGCATGAGGCAGGAGTGGAATTGCCATAAATGAGCGGAAAATAGATCTAAGTTCTGGCTCATCACGGAGGAGACGCTTGGTCAAACCAAACTTCTTCCCCTTTCTTCCTACATTCTGTAAAAAAAAAGTTCAATTTGTTAGCTTTAAGTTAAAGTAGCAATATACCCTACACACAAGCAAATGTGTCCATACTTACTCTAACATAATGGATGTAGCATCCCCTCACGATACAACCATAAACTTCACGCCAGGCTAATTGCTGGGCTTGTTCAAAGTCAGCCATTACAACTCGTGGTCTGAACCTGGGAACTAGTTGTTGTAGGAAAAGAAGCACAGCTCTATATGCTTCATAGCTTTTTGTCTCCATGTGCACAACAACCAGAGGGATTACCTGAAATCAGATATGCAAAAAGTCAAATATCATAATACAATGAAAGAAACATGATTTTTATAATTGATTATTCAGCACTCTCTTTAAGTGTTTCAATTTCACTCCACAACTTTGAAAGGGCTCAAGAGTTTTAAAAAAATTACATCATTTTCATGACAGCCACAAAAGTTGGTCGGTCAATAGCAAATGAACAGTAAATGCTTTGAAGTTTTTAAGACCTGGAAACATGTTGTAAGGAATGGGTTCATATGCTTACATTGTGTCGTCGCACACAGACAATTTGCCAAACTTGTCTACCATTGGGACGTAAAGGTGTGGGGATGAAAGTGGCATCTGAGAAGACTTCACGAATCTTTCTCATGACTCTTTGCATTCTTCTGGACACGTAGATTGTACACCTTTCTCCAGCGGGTCCTACAGTGCCGGCATAGAGATTATCTTGTTTGTCTGAAGTCGCAGCAATGTGTTCGTTCTGGGGGTCCTCAAGAATAGCTGCAAGGCCGTCCAAATTAGGTGGAGCTGGAGGGTACAAGCGATATCTGGCACGCTTCATTGCATGTCGAAGCTTGCATTGCCTGAGTCTAGCAGCAACTTCAATTGGGTACCTATGAATGGGACAACAAAATTAACATCATTTGACTTAAAGCATTAACATGCAGATCGAAGATCAATTAATTAATTAATTACAGACCTTTCAGCTTCCTGGTTGATAAGAGTGCGTGGTGCCACATAGTCTCTCGTTCTGCATGCCTCAAGAATGTTATGCCTAAGTTGTCTCTCTTGAGGAGCCAGGCGGTCCCTCACACAAACGTGACCCTGTCTATCTTTCCATTCCGGAGCCTCCCCTGGTCTTTCATAGAGTATGGCTCGGCCAGGGCAGTGGAGAGCTCGATCCGTGTACTTGACACATCTTAAGAAGGTTGTCTTCACATAAGGGTCGTTAATGACGCGATTCGCGTGATAGGAATAACCGTCGTTTCTGTGGTACACTTCGGAAAATTGAAACTTCCCAGGATCGATAGCAACAGCCGCACACATATTCAGTCATGGGCACAAACGAAATAGCGGATAAAAACAATCATCAGTGTCAGTTGTCTGTACACAAGTTTTGGCTCGCATTGAAAACACAACAGCAGCAGACCGACAGACTTTCTTCTTTTCTTCTTCTCGTTCTCGAATGCAGATGCAGGCCGAAACAATTACAAACCGGAAAGGTTTACGAAATAGTAAATACCAACATAAACTCCGCACATCACTTAATCACTTTTTCTTATGCTTTTCCATGAAAATTTAATACGGTCGTTTGAATTTGTAGATCGGCCATTAAAATTTTCCCCGTGTATTCAAAAACAACACCTTTCCAATTAATACAGTATTTTTTTTAAATGGATTCCCGTGGGTGCCTGTCTACTTCCGCCCCTGGGCGTCGTAGTGAGAACCCCGTAGCCCGCCGCTCTGCGCCGATCCCGAGCATCACCTCGACCATCGAAGCAACACGGTTCAGCAACAGTCAAATCGCGCTCGACCAGCGAAGGTGTCACATCGTAAGGTAGGTGAAGTGTGTGTCGCTCCTCGCGGTCCTATTTCTTTGCAAGGTTTTGTCGACCAAGACTTGTTTCCAAGCCGAATATTACTAGTTCTATTTCATTTTCATCTCATTTTATCGCTCATTGGGATATTTATTAGTGCAAACAAGTCAAGAACCTAAACATATAGTTTTGAACGTTTAGCCTTCATACTTCAATGGTCTGTTAACTTGTTCAAGGAAAGAGGTTTTAAGTGTCGCCTCGTTCGTTCATATCAATAACTTATTTGAGTGTGGCCACGACACGATCATAATCAATGTTGTGAAACAATGAGGACGCCACCTTGCTAGGGTTAGGTTTCTCCCACATCGTCAAGTTTTAACGAGTTTCTCTCGTTTATCAGATTTTCCTGGCCCGTTTTGTTTCATATATTTCTTTTGGCTAGGGATTCGACACCACGTTTTTTTCGAATTTCAATCGCCGACCCTGTGCAATGCATGTGGTCATTCCCTCCCCTAGGTGGTTTAACTTCCATCTGTAGTTTAAACTCAGTGTCTTGTAGTATTCAATGCTCTTTATTAACTGTAGCTCCTAAATTGAATCATCTGTGGAGGGACAATTCGGGTCCAAGAATCTTGAAATTAGTGAACTTCGTAAACTACAGCTTTCTCATCAATCTTGGCCCTTGTAGGTTCTTGCTGACTGCCAGTGTTCGAAGCCATGAGTAGAAACGGTGAGTCATGTTTAGTGTAGAGATACATTATTTTTTCATTTTAGTGGATTGAGGAATTGAGGCTCAGGCATGTCTGATTGCCGTACTCAGTAGAGTGATTTATAAACTTGCACGCTAACCAATGCCCTCAAGTATGTACCTTGCATGTCAGCTGATGAGTTTACTTTGACCACCCCAGTCGGTGAGAACATTATTGTCTAATATTGTACAAATGTTTATGGTCAGTGATTATCGACCCTAACATTCTTTTAATCCTTATCTGAAACATCTCTTTTTGCCTGAAAAGCACTCTCTTAGTACATTTTGATTAAATTAGTCTTTGAGCCTCGGAAGGTAGAATCTTGGGGTGTATTGTCATCTAAAGTAACAGCTGAACACATTGATAATATCTGAATGCCGAAAATTGAAATTTCAACATGTCAATAGAGTGCTTCTATGTTTATGATCTCACTTTTAAAGTTGCACTGATGAATAAAGTGTTCAACTTGCGTGCACATGCAAGTGCACAACACTTTGTTGCACACCTCTAAGTGATTGACTTGATATTTTAATACCATCAGGTGTTGAACAGTAAAGTTGAACACTTAAAAAGTGTTCACCATTAGGGTTTGCCTTGAAACTTTGAACCAAAGTCAAATTTACTGTTGAATACTTCAAACTATTTAAATATCAAGTCAATCACTTAAACTTGTGCAATATAGTGTTGAGCACTTGTATGTACACACCAGTTAAACACTTTCTTAATCACTGTGACGCCCAGGATTTTTTTCGGAAAAGTTACTGGTAATGTAGTGGAGCTTGTTTCTTTCAGTGCATTAAGGACCACATATTTTGTGGGGTTTTACTAATCTGATAAATAAAAATTTTACTGTTGGAAGTGCAAGTTTTTCCTTTGTAAAGCTCTTTCTGTATGATTTTTAATCTTCAGAATTGGGTATAAACACAGTGGCATTATGTAGTCTTTGGTTGAATGAATCAGAAATGTTTCAACCTGTTTTTCATTACCATTTTTTAGGGAAATTCTGGATGTTAACTTCAAAAGCGAGATCACATAGTATGACTTCAATTTCTGTCATTCTGATAATGAGTAATGTGTCAAGCCATTCCTTTTGCTGAAAAATATATGCCCAGATCCATCATTAGATTTACAGTGGCTCAGAAATGAACTCTATTGATGTATGGCACACTGCTGACTCATATTTTACAGTATCATTCTCTCTTTTAGATCAAGAAGAAATGCGGATGAAGCGCCTCCAGATGTTGGGTTTGCTGCCGAAAAACCCAGAGGCTGAAGAGCAGACTAAAGCCGAGGATATCAATACTATCAATGGCGATGGTGCTTCTGCTGTGGCTAATGAGGAGCCTGCTTCAGCTACAAACGAGATCAAGGTTAACAATGAGCCTTTGGTTGTGAGTGAGCCTAATGCTAACAGCGTGCCTTCAGCTGGCACTGTGTCTATGGCTAGCAATGAACTGAAAGCTGTCAAGGACTCCAGCCCTGGGCCTATTTCTTTTACGTTCAGTGAGTTTTTTCACATGTGAATTATTTTGAGACGCTTATTTAGAAAGCAATTGTCTTTTACACACCATTTGTTTGTTGTAGATATCTATCCAACTGATAAAGCAGCAACAGCCAAGGTCATCAGTAGCCTTGCTAAGACCCTCGCTGGTAAATCCATGTGAATAAGGTGTATAATTTGTTCAGTTACTTGCTAAGCATGTTATAACATGACTACATTTTTTGCAGACTTGTGTCTAATGGATGACGGGGCTGAAACTGCCTCTCTGAAGACGAATCCCATAGTCAGTGTGAATAAACCAGTGAAACATCAAGGAGAGTCGAAAGGTTAGTTGTTTTAATTACTGTCTACATTCATGCTATTATCTGACACCTAAACTCACCTCAATGTACAGATGACTCTTGGCTATCAGATTTTGAAAAGCCTGCGAACAAGAACCAATCAACCCCCAGGTGCGCCAGTGAGGATGATTTGGTTGTCGTTATACCATCTGACAATAGCATGTACAGTGATGACGGTGGAGCTTGTAAGTATCATGCAATCATAACTACCTGTGAAGTAAATAAGAATGTTTCTGCAATCAAAACTTTCAATTCCTTTTGACAGATGGGGCTGGTGCCTCACTTCCAAGGACTGCTACCCTGAACACTACGTTCAAGCCATTCCAACCTGCAAGGGATGCTTCCGTAGCTGGGCCATCATCAGCTACATCTTTTTCAATGGCAGGCCCTGGACCCTCCCAATCGACTGGGGCAATTCGTAAATCATCAGCTGGATCTTTTGCAATGGCAGGCCCTGGACCCTCCCAATCGACTGGGGCAGTCCGTAAATCATCTGCTCCAGCCCCGAAAGTTTATACTTCCAGCTCTGATTCAGACCAGAGTAAGTGTCAGTTTTGCTGGTAGTGGCATCGTTGACTGTTTCTTTTATTATTGCTGTACTGATGGTTTAATGTTCCTTCCCCCAGATATTCCATACAAACGCTCTAAGGATAAGAATGAGAAAGGTAATTTCATGTCTCAAATGGCGGCATTCTTCAAAAATCACGCTCCTAGCAAATCAAACAAGGATAAGACTTCAGGAGGGAAACATTTCCTCAGTGACAGCAGTGAGACATCTCAAGGTTAGTTAGACATTCACATTGTTTACAAGAATCAAGGGTTGTCACGAATCATGGTTAGTTATTTTGGTCAAGTAATGTCAAGGAATGAAACACAAGACGTACTAGATTAAGAGAGCGGAACTGCTCTTGTATTTGAACTATTAAAATCAATGTGGATTTCAGTCAACGTCTGCATTTTTAAATAAATTGTCTATTATTGCCTTCGTGCCTGAGAAGTGGTGAAACCTAACAGAGTTAGCCCTCCTGTGTCTTTCTGGCAACCCTGATACTTTCTTTCTCACGATTTATAGGTTCATTTGTCTCATTTGCTTCTCTCTATTTCCAGAAGTCATGCCGAAGAAGAAGGTGAGGACTGCTGACCCACCTCAGACTTGCTCTGGAGCTCAAGCTCAAGCTCCTGCCGGGCCCGTACTTCCCCCAGATGAAGATCCTCACTTGGGCCTGTGCTCAATCTGTCTGTCAAATCCGAAAAATTGCAAGATTCGCTGTAGACATGTTTTCTGTGAACCTTGCCTTGTAAAACTGAAGGCTGCCAAGAAGGGATGTCCATTTGAAGGCTTTAGGTTCCGCACCTGGGAGAAGCTGTTCTAAGTTTTTTGTCGATCATTTTAGTATGTAAACCTTTAGAACGATTTCATTTTCTTTTGACTTTGCTATTCTTATTGGTTTTTGATTAGTTATTCTGACATTCCTCTACTCAGTTTAGAATTAGTTCTAAACTGTGCTAGATTTTTAATGTGTTCACTTTTAAAGTATTCTGACTTTTAATCTGGTTTTAAAATTTGTTCAAGACTGATACCTTGAAAGAGGCTTTGTACCTTTGTTTACCTTTTGGGTATTAAATAATGTGATCTTTCAAATTGATTTTTTTTCTCAGACCTTTAATCTTTTACGTAAAATAATACTTCTGTCGACTGGTTCTTCACTACTTAATTTTCAAATGGGAAAGAGGCACGAGGCAAGACACAAGACATAAGCTTTTTCAGGTTACATATCAATGTGAGCGTAAACATGGAACTCAAATTGCTGGGCTGTGACTCTCCCAGCCCCCTCTCATGGGCTGAGTTTTTCTCTTAAGGAATATTGAATGAGTTGATATTGGAGCTCCAATTACCCGGGTTGATGGACTGAAGCGGAATGAAATTAAGTGACTACTGCAATATGCTTGAGACAATGTCATTCGCAGCCATTAATTAAAATATTTAAGGATAAAATGATTGTGGTCAGTTATGTGAAGTATTTTTATTAATGGATGATAAAAGATGCCAAGCTTTGGTTTAATCAAATCTTTATTTACAAATATCAACTTTTAGTATGCGTATATCAGAATTTAAAATATGATGCTAAATATGATTTGAACTGCGAATTATTAATATTTCACTTCTCATATGAGTTTTATTAAATCAGTAGGACATGTGAGCCAGGACAGGAGTATATGGTCGGGATTAGTATCTTTAATGGGTTCCAGAAAAAAAACTTAAGTTCAAATTCTAGTTTTATTGACAAATGTTTTCGACAAATGTTACACATTGTTTGTACCGATAGTTGCTAGTTGATTGAGCACAACGTCCACCTCTTTCACACGCCACCGACAGGGGCTGGTCTTTGGACCCTAAGCATCCAAAAGCGATGCGTGCGCGTAAATGTGAGATACACAGCTCCCACTGTACAAGCAGCTTAAATCACGAGTGTCAGACTACACTAAACCAGTACATTACCATCGCCCCACGCCAAAGTGCATCTTCATGCCCATCCAGACCGAGCTGACACGCACGTTAACTTCATGGACACCCTGCCCAGTGCCCCTTGCAACGTTCATCTTCACCTGGAGAACGGCGGCGGCGTGGACTGGGCGCCCCCGCCAGCTCCAAGACCACCACGTAGACGGCGACGCTCATCTTCACCTGGACCACGGCGGGGGCGTGCGCTGATCGCCCCGCTAGCTCCAGGACCACCTTGTAGACGGCGAGGTTCATCTTCACCTGGACCACGGTGGCGGCGCTGGCTGGGCGCCCGGCGCCCCCACCAGCTCTGAGACCACCTTGTAGAGAGCGAAGTTCATCTTCGCCTGGACCACGGCGGCGGCGTGCGCTGGTCGCCCCGCCAGCTCCAGGACCGCCTTGTAGACGGCGACGTTCATCTTCACCTGAAGCCCGGCGTAGGCCGGGCGCCCCCGCCAGCACCAGGACCACCTTGTAGACGCCGACGTTCATCTTCGCCTGGACCACGGCGGCGGCGTGTGCTGGGCGTCCCAACCAGCTCGAAGATCGACTCGTGGACGGCGACGTTCATCTTCACCTGGCACACGGCGCCGGCGTCGGCACGGCGCCCCCACCAGCACCAGGACCACATTCTAGATGGCTGAGTTCATTTTCACCTGGAGCACGGCGTGAGCCCGGCGCCGGCGCCCCCGCCAGATCCAGGACCACATTGCAGACGGCGACGTTCATCTTCACCTGGCAAGCGGCACCGGCGTGGGCAGGGCGCCCCCACCAGCACCAGGATCACCTTGTAGACGCCGACGTTCATCTTCACCTGGCAAGCGGCGCCGGCGTGGGCAGGGCGCCCCCGCCAGATCCAGGACCACATTGTAGATGGCAAGGTTCATCTTCACCTGGAGCACGGCGTGGACCCGGCGCCCCCACCAGCACCAGGATCACCTGGTAGACGGCGAGGTTCATCTTCACCTGGAGCCCGGCGTGGGCCGGGCGCCCCGCCAGCACCAGGACCACGTTGTAGTCGGCGAGGTTCATCTTCACCTGGAGCCCGGCGTGGGCCGGGCGCCCCGCCAGCACCAGGACCACGTTGTAGTCGGCGAGGTTCACCTGGAGCCCGGCGTGGGCCCGGCGGCCCCGCCAGCACCAGGACCACCTTATTTGTACACGGCGAGGTTCATCTTTACTTGGAGCACGGCGGCGGCGTGGGCTGGGCGCCCCCGCCAGTTCCAGGACCACTTTCTTCGCGTGGAGCTCTGTGGGTTCTTGGGCTGGGCGCCCCCACCAGCTCC